CCCCAAAACCCCAAAACCCCAAAACCCCAAAACCCCAAGTTTAGGTTCACATACTGAACCTAACATTTCTTATTATTTAGAATCAGTTTAAATTTCATAATTATGGAGATGGTGGGTCTGCTAATGATGGATCTAGCTGTTGGTCCAAAAGTGATTGAATCCTCGGAATTAGCTGGTATTTGTTGTACAACGTTTCTACTTCTGGGCTAAAGTTAATCTCATATAGAATAGACAATAACCATTCAAGATTAGAGTTAATGATCGCTTTATGTTCTGGATTGCTAGAAGATGAGTTCTCCAAATGTGAAATTCAAGCTGTCACTATTCTCTCTATTTTTGAAAACAAAAAATCTTGATCAGGCTTTGATTTAAAACGTTTATGTGCAGTTTGATTATCGTCATTCTAAAAATATACTTAATTCTTACATCCTCAACTTCTTCATCTAAGTCTGTATTTAGAGAAATGAAATCTGAATTGGTGATAGAATTCATAAGTTCGTAAACATCCAACTCTGACTCAGTTTCAGAAATTAATGAAAAGAATAAATCAATATATATGTCTGAAATTTGGTCATTCGCTGCATTTCAGAAGAATTTGAGCCATTTTCCAACTAAATAAAAGCATTCATTCTTAATAAATATTGAGATTGCAGTCTCTAGCCCGAATTCTATATGTTATTCATTTAAAAATTACTTTCTAATTTAACTTCGTCAAGTTTGATTGGGAGATTTTCTTCACTGAAAATTGAATTATCATTCTTTTTGCTTCCTCCTTTCTCGTGTTTGATTGGAATATTATCTTCAGAAGACTTGGAAATCGTGAAAAGGAAGACTAGGTAATCTTCAATTTTTGATTTAATATTTTCATCTCATTTCAGTTCATTAAGAATTTTTGGATGGTTGAATAGTTCCTTTGTAATAAGAGACACTCCTATCACAAAATCTTTATGATCCTTGTTAGCTTGAGCTTTGTCAAGTAAATCAAAAAGGTGGAAAGGTTCGCTGTTATAGAACATCTCCTTATTGTCATCTCTTCCGTTCATTATGTTAGAAATTGTTATCAAGAGAATATAAAGATCCTTATCTTTCAATATTGGAATTAATTCTACCAATTTTCTCATAATATCGATACTCAAGGAAGAAGATCAAAACTCATGGTTCATGGACATATAAGATAATGCTTTAATAGTATGGTTAACCATTTCAAGTTCGTTTTTGTGACTTAATAAGTGGCTTATCCCCTTTATAATTTCCTTGGTCATCAATCTTTCTTGAATAAGAGTTGATACGCTAATGAGTCTTGCTATTTTTCTTTTCACATCAATAGAGATGTCTTGGCAGAATTCTAGACAAGACATTGCTATTTGAATCAGGTTTTCATTAAACATCAAGTGGTGAGAAGAATCTTGGGTGAATGCTTTATACAAGCAATTGATTATTTGAGCATCCATAAGTTCGTCTTGAGACATTTCAGGATCATCTCCAGCAGTTCTTCCCAGAACCATACCTATATGACTTGATTGTTTACTTAGAATCAGATTGTTTCAAATCACTAATAAATGTAGGTTTAGAAGGAGGCTTTGATTTTACTCTTTCAAAGTTCATAAATATTGATGTATGAACTCTTGAATAAGTTACTGATTTTCTTGCAGCTCCTTCCTCATCTTCAGGTATACCTAGTTCTTTATCTAAAGCCTTGTCCACACTCTCATCTGTGATTGATGAACTTTTGAGAGTGTCTTGATCTGTTCTTGATTGGAACATACTCTTAGGAGTAGTCTCTTCTTTGATCCTATGAATGACGATAATGGTTACTCTTCTATTTCTTGAGGAGGCTTTATATTGATCTTTTCTTTATTAGGAGTAGTAAGATCATTATCTTCTTCTTCAGAGCTTCCCTCATATTCTAAAAATAGAAAAAGAAATTACCTAAACAAAGTAGAGCAGCATTAAACATTTTAAATAATTGCATCTTCTTGGTAATCATAAGCAATCTGATGAGAAGATACTAAATTTAGTAGAGTCTGGGATGCATTTAATCATAGTTTCTTCTTTGCCCTGAATTTTACAATAATCTTCAACAACCATAAAACTGTGCTTGGGTTTATTATTTCATCAATATCAAAATTAACTTTTGATTTACTTCCAGCTGTATAAGTGCTTACTAAAGAATTAATAGAAGAGAATTTACCTTCATTAAGAGTTGGGATGAGATCTTGAAGAACCTCCTCTTCTCTTGAATTTGTCAAGGCAGAGAAAACATATAAAAAGTATATTTGGTTTAGCTCCATCTCATTTTCCTCAGTCAAGGCTAATCATCTTTTGCTTCATTCTTTGAAAATTTGAATGTTTGGTTCTTTGGCAATACTAATGAGAGAAAATAAGCCATCAAACTTTTTCTCAATTCCCTTCTCATAAAAATTCTTATTTATAATGATTAATTTGAATTTCTAATCTGTTGGAAATAAATTTTAAATATTGAGCACTTGTCTGCCCTTCCTCCATTTGCATATCGTCAACAATTCTTGACAATACTTGCTTATCAGAAGATGCATAAGTTGACAATGTTGATAAAGTAGAGAAGGCTCTTGTTCTGATAAACATTGAGTCTGATTTTGTTAGTATCATTAAAGCATCAATAATCCCCCTGTTCTTCTCATTTGTGCCTGCCTGCAGATAGACTAACTTATGAGTTATTAAGAAAGAAATAGAATTGGCTCATTCTCTAAGAATTTCTTGGTTGTCAGAAGTTGAGCCAATAATAAAGGCTTCAATGATACTGTCAAGCTCTCATAGCTTATTCTCATAATTTAAAAGAATGTAATCCTTTAAAGCCCAATATGCAATGACTCGATATTTTTCTATATCTCAAACTGTGAATTTTAGTAAGACATTAATTGTTTCCTTTTGATGCTCTTCAAAATTTTTATGCATCCCAACAATAGATTTTTCTTTTACACTTTTAGAATAGTCAGTTCTGCTATCTTTATGGATTGATTGACTTTTTCTACTTCCTTCTTTGCTTTCTTCTCCGTCATTGATTGCATTGTAGGATGGATCAAGGTTTGTCTCTCCTTCACTCACTTCAGCAAATCCTGTGATGACCAGATGACGAATTTTATTATATTGTGGATTTCACGAAACTAGGAACATATCTCTAGTAATTCCATTCTGAAGCATTGTTTCTCCAGTGATTCCATTATTTCAAAGTGCTAGAAAAATCCAAGACACATTTGTTTGAATCTCTACATCATTTATACTGGCAAAAGAGTTGAATAAATCCATCACTCCCTTTTTGATTAAAATAGAGATGGATTGCTTGTTTAGAGCAAAATGAACAAGTGCTAATGTAGCATATTGTTTCACTTCAAGGTCAGTGTCTTGTCAATACGACATGACAAGATCAATAACCCCTTGATTAATAAGCTCGTGGAACATTACTGAATGATATGTGAGTAAAGAGAGTGCCAAAACAGCATTTGATCTGATCTTACTCTCAAAAGAAGGTTTTCAAAGTTGCAAAATAATATTTAGAAGATTTAGATCTAAAATTTCTTTGATCATATCTTGATAGAAACATATGAGAGTGGTCATCCAAGAGATTTTGGCTAATACCTTATTTTCCTCATTTATAAATGTCAACACTCTCATAAACTTTCTTATAGTATCCTTCCTTTGCCAGTTTCTTTCTTGTATCTTCATCCTGAGTGAGGTTGCAAAGAGAATCAAAGACATTTCAAATGATTTCCTCGTCGTCGCTTTCAGTGATGAGATCAAAGATTAAATAAAAGAAGATATTATTAACAATTTCTTTTTCCCCGAAGTTTTCTTTTGTGATCGTGCTAATATAAGAGACTGCAAATTTTTTATCCCCTTCGTAAGGAGAAACATAAAAATCTTTTATCTGCTTTAAGATTCTATTTTTTTATTACACTCTTGTTATCTTCGTCAAGATTATCATAATGCTCTTTTTCAAATTTCCAATTAGGGTCCTCTAAGACCTCAGGATTCTTTTCTGCTATAAATTGCTTCGTCGTCTCAGCTGTAATATCAATCAGCTTTTTCTGCCGGTAATAATTATCTTCATAGTAAATATTTCTGTACTCTAAGGCTGCTTGATTCAAAATTCGTACAATCAAGGTAAATTTCTTCCTGGTGTTCTCCATCAGGAGACGCTTTTTCTCTCTCCTTTTTCTCTTATTTTCTAATGATTTTTGATCTCTCCCTTTCGAGTTCATCGAACTTATACAAAAGCATTTCTTTCTTCGGAGTATAAATTGTAGATAAATTTTCGAGAATTGCATTGTAAACAGCCGTATAGATTTTAGTCTCTTTGCTTCTTAGGAGGTCCTCAATTCTTTTTCCTATCTGTTCTTCCTTTGGGACGTACAACTTTTTGGTTCTATTAGAATTGTAGGACAGCACAGAAGCACCACCACTCTTCTTCTTGATTTTCAATTTGTTTCGATTTGACATTTAAATATATAATTCAAATATTATAAGCAGGCATGGGGTTTTGGGGTTTTGGGGTTTTGGGGTTTTGGGG